TAACAACTAAACTAACATAAAATAACTTGAAATAAAGTAAAAAATTTAAAATAAATAAATCAAAATAAATGAAATCAAAAAAAATGAAATGAAATAATTTCATTTATATTATTATTTAAAATAAAATAAAGTAATCTAAATTATTACAAAATAAAAATAAAATAGCTTAAAATAAATAAATTAAGATAAAATAAAATAAAATTAAATAAAATCAAAAACAAAATGAAAAAAATTAAATAATATAAGAACAATTTATCTAAAATTATATACATAATTGGCGCTTTGTACCCGCTGAAGCGATTTTCGGCCGAACTCCTTCTCCAAATTTTTGGTCTTGCGTCTTGATTTTTTTCCAGTAAATGGAGGGATCTACAGTTTATACTTAGTCGCCTCCGAACGGCTGGTGGTTTTTTATGAGGGGATTTTATTTCATGTCAGAAATACACTCGGAAGGATTGACATTCCCTGCCGAGGGGCGACCGCAGTTAGAAAATTTAACTTAATTTTTTATTTAAAATAATTTCTCATAACTTTTGGGTGTTTATCGCACGGGGATTTGAACTCGAGCCGAATGGCAATGTTAACCACTCAGCTACAATAAAAAAATTAAAAAAGTAGAATATTAAAAGAAAAAAATTTAATTAACATAAAACAAACTAGATTAAAAGAAAACAAAAAAATTAAATAAAAAAGTGAAAATAAAGTATAAAAGAATATGAATATATGTATGTAAATACATTTCTAGGTGTTCAGCGATGCTTAAATTCAAAACACATTTGCCTAATATTTATTATTTGCATACCTAATTACTTGCGAAAATATTCGTATAAACTAGTTAATATGCAAAACAGCAATTGACAAGCCTTTTCTAACTGATTTTATGTATGAATGCACAAACATGTAAATAAAGAATTTCTGATGAAATTACTTTTTCTTCAGTTCAAATGAAACTAGTTTTAAATAAAATAAGAAAAAAAATGAACTGAAAAGTTGTAATTTCACAAACTTTGTAGACACTTACTATCACTAAAAAATGTATGTATGTATTCATATATATATGTCTTCATTTGTGTCTCACATATTATGAACGATAATTTGAATATAACCTCAGTTTTGTATTTGTTGGCAAATATTTTTAATTTTCGCAGCTAAACAAAGACTCGCAGTCAATGTTTACCAGTATGACATGACATTTCTTTGTAGAATTTCGCTCTCTCATCTGCAGCTGTCAATATTGACACAAATGTAGGCTTAAATTGTCGATGTCAATATAGAAAATAAACTGTTTTACTTTTTGGGATTTCCCACAAGAGAATTTTATTTAGAGAAATAAATTAAAACTCAAATATCTGTATTATGTAAATTCAGCTTGGGAGTTAAAACACAAAATTCGGCTTCATAGAAAACTTCCAGTGAAACTTTGATATAAAGTGAATATGAGAAGCCATGTCAGTGCTGTCGGAAAGGATCCAGAATCCCATAGGAAACATAATAATAAGAAATATTAAATTTTATTTCCTGTTCTTAAGAAAAAATGGTTTGTAATTGAGTCGCTTAACCGCTGCTTATTATCCGGTCGCTGGTGGAAGTGACATTTGAAACCTCAAGCTTCATCGATCAATGTGAGATACACTGAGAAAAATATATATATTCATTGTGGTTATATATCACTAACTTTGTTAAACTAACCGTTTCTCAATTTACTGCACTCTTAGTAAAGCAAATTATATGAGTTTAACTTATGAATTTATTAAATCCTCATTATGAAAAAAATATTTAAAAAAAATATTTTTCATTTATAAAGATGGAGTAATATATATATATATATATTTGACAAAATTAAACAAAAAATATATATATGTATGTACATACATATGTACAGACGTGTAACAGGTAATCAATTAACTGCATCGCTCATTCAAGTTCAACAAACAAAGTTCAGAAACATGTGTAAATTTGTATTTTATATATGTACATATGTAAGCATGCATGTACACAATGGCATTTGAGTGGAGCCACACGCCAGGTAAAACATGTGAGAAATGCAAATGACACGCTTTTCATGTGTAAATGAATAATATGCATATACATACATACAGTGTATATATGTATGTAACAACATTTTGGATGTATTATCAAATCTATTTTTAAAAATTTGTGACCTTGAAACTTGTTCAAATAAAGTTAAGCAGTTTTCCTTAAATGCCATAATAAAGCTGGGCAACAAAAACAATAATGCAATGACGAAAAGATAACACAAAAAAAAACAAATAAAATAAAACGAAATAAATAAAATAATATTTAAAAATCAATAAAAAATTTAAAATAAAATACAACTAAAATCAAATATATTATAATAAATGAAAATAAATAAACAAAATAAAATAAAATAAATAAAAAAAAAATAAAATAAAATAAAACATAGTATAATAAATAAAAATATATAAGCAAAATAAAATGAAATAAATTGAAAACTATATTAAAATATTTAATAGACAAAATAAATAAAGTAAAACAAAATAGAATAGAATAAATTAAATAAAAATAGAACGAAATAAAAAATAGGGATTCAATATAATAAAGTAAAATGGAACAAAATAAAATTGTAGAATAATAACCAATAAAATCACTCGAAATAAAATAAATAAAATGAAATTAAATAAAGCAAAATAAGAAAGAAAAATGAGTTAAAAGAATTTAAACGAATATACAAGAAAATAAATAAAAAATAAAATAGAAAGAAATAGAATAAAATAAAACAAAAATAGATGATGGAAAATAAAAAAATTATATATAAAAAAGTAAAATAAAATAAAATAAATTAAAATAAACTAGAATAATAAAAAATAAAATACGTAAAATAAAAAGTAAAACAAATAAATTGAAATAGAATATAGCAAAAGTAACCAAAGAAAAATGAGATAAATGAGGATTTAAAAAAAAAAATAAAAAAAAAATAAAAAAAAAATAAATAAAAATAAAATAAAACAAAACAAAATAAAATAAAATAAAATAAAATAAAATAAAATAAAATAAAATAAAATAAAATAAAATAAAATAAAATAAAATAAAATAAAATGAAATTAAATAAAAGAAAATAAAATAAAATGAAAGGAAATGAAATAAAATAAAATGAAAGGAAATGAAATAAAATAAAATGAAATAAATTAATATAAAATAAACTAAAATAAAGAACAACTCAATAAAATGACTTAAAATAAAATAAATTATTAAATAATAAAAATATAAATTAAAAAATAAGGAATATATAAAAATGGAATAAAATATGCTGAAAAGAAATAAAATAAATGAAATAAAAATAAAATAAAAAATAGAAAGCAAAATAAAAAAGGAAATCAAAACAATAAAAATATAATACAAAGAAATCCAAAAAAGGTTCAAATTAAATTAAATAAAAATAAAAAAATGTAGTACAACAAATAAGAAAATTAAATAAAAATATGTAAAGAAATGCAGTACAATAAATAAGGAAAATAAAGTAAAAAGTGAAACGAAAAAATAAATTAAAGTGAAATATAATATAATAAAAAACGAAAAATAATAAAATAAAATAACATACAAATAATAAATTAAATTATTATAAATACAAAATAAAATAACATAAACTTAGGTAATGTAAAATAGAATAAGTAAAATTATATAAAATCAAATAAAATAAAAAATTTTATAATAAATAATAAGAAACAAAGAAAAAATAAAATTAAATAAGATATATGTAGCAAAATGAAACAAAATAAAGAAATTCAAATGAATTGAAAATTATAAAGGATATAAAAAATTAAATTACATAAAACATTTTTGATTTTCACGAATAGCTGTTAAATACTTACGCGACTACAGTGCCTGTCAGAAGTTTGGCGACCTATAAAAAATTAAATTACATAAAACATTTTTGATTTTCACGAATAGCTGTTAAATACTTACGCGACTACAGTGCCTGTCAGAAGTTTGGCGACCTATAAAAAATTAAATTACATTAAATAGAATAAATTAAAAAAAATATACTATAAAATGAGTAAATAAATGAAATAAGCGTAACTCTCTTTTCTCAATTCCATATTCTAGTAGTTGTTATAACGGACTTAAAATCAGCTGTTGCTTTTCATGAAAAACTTTTAATTTTTGTTCATATTTACTAGCAAAGAAAATTAAAAATAAATTCTTAAAAAATAACCACTAACTAACTAGTTTCACAATTTTATAGTAGCGAAAATATATTAAATAATTTTTTCATTTACGTAAAGTTTACATTCGTTATCAGCAAAGCAAAAAAAAAAAAACGTACGGAGGACCCACGTATTTACATACAAATGCAAAAAATAAGGCCAAATATATGCATTAGCACTTGTTTTCTTACATGTATATGTATGTTTACATGTACATATGTTTATGTGTGCGTTTGCAAATAATTAACTTTGAATGAAGTAGGTTAATTTGAGATGGAAAACAACGCTTTAAAATTTGCCACATACATGGAATATTTACTCAAGAGTAGCAGCGGCATATAAAAGAAATGCATTACATGCATTGCAATACACACACGCATACACATCATTTTTTATTTACACACATTAACTTGTTGATTTATTCCCGCCCGAATGCAGTTTAACGTCATCAATGACAGATCAGCAGCCGCTGTCAAAACTGACAACTCGCTGTGCGGCTGGCATTGGCACTGGCAAGTACACTTTCTGAGCATGTGCAAAAAACAAAATTAAGACAAAAAAAAAAAAGAAATTCCTTTATATCTTTGTGAAATATACAAAGAAAAGACAGAACCAAGAAAGTATGCAGAGAGATTCGCTGATGACACACACGTGTATTTAGCCAGTGGCATGAAAACTCACAATTGTGTTGCTCACAAAAGCAAGGCGAAAAATTAGTGGGTGGCTCCAGCCTATGGAGTACTCGCTGACATACATACAACATTTTATCAATTATAATATTGTTTATTAGTTCACTTTCCTTCGCACACTTACCTAATGAATTCAATTATGATTTTGGTAAAAGCATTTTGCATTGATTTCCGCGCAGAACTTGTTGAGATGTTGAAACATTTTTCTGGATTTGCTAATGTAGCTGAGAGACTCTTCTGCTTTTGTTTTTATATATAAAAGTTACTCATTTTTAACGCGACTTTTTTTTGTTGCAGTTTTTGTTTCACGCTTTTTGTGTTGCTTCGCTTTGTGCGTAAGATTAACTCGCCGTACACGTTAAAATAACATAAATATTTAAAAACTTTTATGAAACATTTCTACTTTCGTGCATTTTTTTATGCGCTCTCTTGTAAGCAACAACATTATAGAAAAATATTTAAAATATCGCGTTGCTAAATTTCCATTCCGAAGCGCATTTTAATGCTTCCACCAGTGTTTAGGGCGCTTCAGTCGCTAGGTTTGCGCGTGTTATTTATTTTTGAAAATTCGTTTTTTGTTTATTTTCACTTTGCTTATAAATTATTATTAATAATTATTATTTTGCGCGTATAATTTCATGAAATTTTCGTTTTGTTTTTCACAACGAGTAAGCGAATTTTGCGCAAAGGAATTTTTGTTATTGTTGACTTGACTTCGCAGCGACGTCCGACCGCTCGATTTGGTGGCCAAGTAGTGACTGTAAACTTGATGTTGTCACTTTTCATGGTATATCAAAGTGTTTTATGTACACACACACACACACACACACACACACACACACACACACACACACACACACACACACACACAGTGTAGTTACAGAAATTCATTTGTATTTTTGTAGTAGAAATTGCTAAGCCATTTTATTTGTTATTAATACACCCTTCTCTCTCCATATCATTTTATTGAATGAATTTTTTATTTGGGTTTAATTTAATTATTTTTAATAAATTTTTGAATAATTAAATTAATATATTTTCAAGTATCATTACATACTTATTTCCTACCACCAAGTTTATTTATAATTTCTTTGGCGAATTTGCGTATTTCTTGAAATGTTTACGTATATTTTTGCCACTGAGCGCGCACGCTTTTAAAGAGAGCCGAGCAGAGACCGCGTTAAATTTTAAGAGTATAGAAGTACACTACAAAAAGGCTTCCCGTTGTGTTATTTTAGTAGTAGTAGTAGTAGATTGACTGAAGCGTTTTTGGCAGTTTCCTACTTCAGCTGTTTCAAGTTGAAATAGCGCATTCAGTTGCCCTACACACTTAGTGAATTAGAAATGCTATACAATTTTGTTATTGTTTTTCACTCTTTGCTTTTACGTTTTATTTAAGATTAATTTTAAAATTGCATATTATTTTAAAATATATTATACTGAAAAAGAGATTTTTTTCTTACCAATGCTAATTAAAAACAAAATCGAATTTAAAATACCATAAATTGAAAAATCAATTGGTAAATGATAATTTTTGTATTTGAAATTAATAATTATCACTTAAAAATTGATATTCAAATTAATATTTAATTTATAGCTTTTTTCTATTGTTTTTTTTTCTATATGTTCGCCTTGGTAATAAGAAAGAGTGAAAAACTAATATGCTATTACAAAGCAAATTGTCAAAAAAAAGATATATAAAAAATTACATAAAACAATAAAAGGAAAAAAAAATAAATAAAAAAAATAAATATCTGGTGTCTAGAACAAATTTACACGTAAATAAGTTGCTTGCAATTTGCATCTCTTTAATTTTTCAACAAATTATAATGTTTCAAGAGAGAAATGTTATAGCCGAAAGTACTTTAGCTTATTGGAACAATTATATGTATGTGAGTTTGGGTTAATTGTGATTACCACAGAAAATACATATATATGTGAATATGTGAGCTTTTACTGGAATATAGCCAAAGCCCATTCCTGCGAGAGCTTGCATATACCGAAGCAATCCTGGAAGTAAAGATCTCTGATTGGCAAAATTAGTTATAAAATATAGTATACATTTATGTAACAAAAAAAGGTAGTTTCACTCAAAATTTTTTAAAAAATTATAACCATCTAACAGTAAGGGATATTTTGACTTTTGCTTTGTTTTTGTGTTACCAATTTAATTTTTTAAAAAATTAATTTTCAACTTTCTAAGCTAAATAAAATTATTTCAGCAAAATATAAGCAAAAAAAAAAAAAAAATAAAATAACGGACCATTAAATGTATTCTCAAAAACCACAAAGGTTTTGCATTGTATTTTCTAATTATAATTTTCCGGCAGCTTAGCATTTTTTAATAAAAAAAAATATAGGAAATATTTTGAAAGTTTCAATATTTTGAAGTTAAATTGAAAATAAGTTATAAAGTCAAAATATCTTTTTCTGCCAATTTTATATTGAGCGAAACTACCTTTCTCTTTTGTATCAATGTATATAAAATATTCTATATATATCCATACATCATTTGGCTCTAGTAACCTCTAGAGTGATTTCGGCTTAACTTATGGGTGCATTACTAGTCGTTAGTAAATAATTCATAAATAATTGGCGGTGGAAAAATTAACAAGTCATATAATTTCATTCAAAACATAACTTCTTACAGAAATATTTATTAATTCATGGTATATTATTTTTTTATTTTGAAATTTTAAACGTTTTTAACGTTCGTTTACGTACAAACATATATATTCTGTTAAGTTAGCACTACGGTTAAATGAAAACTCGATATTTTTGACACTTTTGAATGATTTCCGAGATTCCCTCTCAAAAAAAGACGTCAAAATAAATTTTGGATGCGATTGCAGATTATATTATATCTGCTTTTATTTCTTCTCTTTATTGTCCTTATCGCAAAGCTACGCCGCTGCAAAGTGAATTTTCCGTGATCTAAATTTTATCAAAGCGAATAGAATTAATTGTCAATGGCTAATAAGCCAATAATGTTTTTCAAAAGCTTCAAAAATTACTATTACCTTATTAATACGTGTACGTTTTTTTTTTTTTGATTTACATAACAAATATTGTAAGAATTAATTAAATATATTTAAAACTGTTTCTTCCATAAAAATTACTCGTTTTATTCATTTTTGATATCGTGAAAATAAGAAAAGTGATATAAATACCTACATATTTATGTATGTATATTGATACATTTTATATTTTCTTTTGATACATTTCTTCACATCGACCACGGTCACACTGGTTAGCACGTGCATATGCAATACACATTGTAAAAGCTTCTTCACTTGATCTCTCTCAGCAACTCTTCGTTTCAAACTCCCCGATTTGTATGCTGTTTCTTCAGAAGGAAAGGTGGTTAATTCATGTAGAAATCTGACGCAATGTATGCGGCAGCTTGCAGCAATGATATGCTGCACATATGTACATACATACATATATACAAACGTTTAGTTTGATGTAGAGAGTTTGTTGTCATGCTACTTTCTCACAAACTCGTCATGCTGCAGAGAAGTTTAAAGAGAGTATGGTAGTACAAAATTGCGTACATACACACACATATACATTTGATATCACATTTAATTATTTGCAAAATCTTCTGATTCGAAGAGATGAAAATAAGAAATAAAATATTTTAACATACATAGGTTATTAAAACAGTCAATTGGATTCATGTATGAATGTATATATTTAATTAATTTTGTATTATACTTAATAACCTATTTTTGTTCAATATTTGTATTAATTTAATTGCACTAAACATTTTGAACAAATAATTAATCTGAGGGTACCTCAGAGCCAAAGAAGTGTTTACGAATTGATAATGTGCTCATTCTTTGGTAATTATGCCATTATTCTGTTGTTGTTTTTGTTTATCTTTTAACTGATTAAATATGTACTACTCTAAATATTTACACACATACACATTTCGAAACATTTCAAAAGCAACGAACTTCGCTATGCAGATTATGAGTTTATGTAAAGTAGGCAAGAAAACGTTGCATAGTTTTAGGCGTCCCATAATTAAATTACCCTTTTCGCATGAAAGTAACTCAAGCATAGAATATATGATGGTTTTTATGTAAATTTATACTATTCAATGATAAACAGACATTTTTAGAAAATATATTTATCTCATTATTTTTTTTTAAATTAGAAACGAATCCAAAATGGTGCTTTTTTTCATTAAAAATCCTCAGTTAAATCCATACGGTTAACGTTTACATTTAACTAAAAAGTAATTTGAAAATAAAATATTTAAAATTTTATGTACATGTGTGTGTGTATATATATTAAAAGAAATATTTAAAATAAATTTCATTTATACATACTCATTCAACACGCCTCAGAAGCCAACCATCCCTCACCTAAGTAAACTTGAAATAACGACTTCTGCCATAACGTGTCAATGCAAACGTTCTATATGCACCCGGTCCGGGACCGATTTTCTTAATCAAATCTTTACCGCGCAAACCGAAGGAGTAGCCCTTGGCATGCTGACATAACTGATTGCCATCGTAGTAGCCAAATGCTGAGGGCAACATATAAGCAGCTGGACCGGGTCCTTAAGGCAAATTACAATTTATGTATTTTTTTGAAATTGAAATTTATTAAGCTCATACGCACCCAAAGGCATTCTACTCATGCTTGTCTGTTTATTATTTTTTTTGTTGGTTTTAAGGAATTGCTTTCAATTTGGATTTTTTTTTCAAAAAATTATCAATAGTCCGAAAATTAGAAAGAAAAATATTTTTAATTCTGTTGAAATGTTTTGAAAAGAAAATTCAATTATAATATTCCACAGACTTACAGTGCTTCTAAAGTATCTGGTGTGGAAATGAGACGGTTTTCAAAAAGTCATTTACTTAAAGGTTTTTGTTGGGACAACTCGACCATTATTCAGTTCTAGCTAACTTTTAAAGTCCTCAGTGGGTATCTGCTCTCTAGCCTTTACATGTAGTGAAATAATCTCTCTTCATACTTATCCTTCTAGACTTACTGTTTATAATAATTTCGCTTCGTAACGGAATGCCACATATGGGTAGTAAAAAAGCCTTTGTTTAGAGGTGAACTAAAGTAAAAAATCAAACAAAGCCTCGGTTAAGAGCTCCCTTTCCCGGTCCGGTCCCTTAATTGAAAAGGTGCCATTGCCCAGCTGATTGAAGTCCTCACGAGACTGAAGACTGACTGACGGTCGGACGATGGTGAGTCCTTGTGAAATTTACTACAGCGACCATAAAAAAGAGTGTAAAATTAAAATTACTTTAGTGGTGGCAGAGACTCCAGATGAACGTCTGGCCACTATCAATATCGAAGCGAAGTTGCGCTGACGTCCAAACAGAAGAGAAGGACATTATGATCAAGGATGTTTTCGACGAACACCTAGAACGCGCCTATGACCGCAGCCCTCGCCATGATGTGCAAATTGTTTTTATTAACTTTAATGCTAGTGTGAGCGAAGAAGGTATTTTTGGACGACACATTCCCAAACGGTCTGAGGCTGATGGACTTCGCCGGATCTCGAAATATAGTTGTCTGTAGTACCAGATGCCGCACAAGATAATTTATCCAGCTACCTTGCTGTCGCCGTATCAAAAACACGCAATCAATTCGATCAGGATGTCATTGGGGAGAACATGACTACAGTTTTTTTAACTGCGCGTATGTTCCGAGGTCCGAACATAGACTTGGATCATTATCTTGTCCCAGTGAAGATATGCATTCTCCTCTGTGTGTTGAAGAACGCGCGTCAACAAACACAAGGAAGGTTCGACGTCGCAACGTTGGAATCACAAAAGGCAGCTGAATAGTTTTTCACTGCTTTCCGAGAGCACTCACCAGAAACTCGATATTATGGAACTGTGATATGGAAGCTATTGGCTTTCTGCGGTGTTAGAAAAAGGACTGTTACGATGAGGAGTGTCGAACTGGAGAGAGGATAGACAAGGTCTATTTTACAAGAATACAACTGTCGTGAAAAAATTATTAACTTTGACGCTCAGACCAATGTCTTTACTCTTCGAATTCTAGTCAGAAAATTGAACACGCCTAGCCAATGTTCAGCAGCTGTGTATTGACAAAGGTCGATGAAACGTTCTTCTTCATATAACAGAATGAGCAATCGTTTCTTTGTTCGGTGAGAGAAGACTTTTATTTTTCGATTGAATACTCAATCCAAATTAACACCTGTGGGCAAGGGTGTTTCTGCGTTGCATTTCAAACTTGACATTATTGTTGCTTCTGATGTTGGCCCCTAGACAGATGAAGATATCGGCAACTTCAATGCCTTGACTTCCAACTGCGAGTGCTTTGACAGTTATATGACAGAGGATTTTCGTCTTTGCCTTGCTCACTAATAGACCCATTCCCATCGTTTCTTTGTCCAATGTAAAGAGAAAAAACAGAGCCAAGGGCGTCGTTGTTGAGGTCAATTATAGAATAGAATCGGCATAAGCTGGTAGTATACTACTTCCCATCTCTCGATTGTGTTTGATACTTAGGACTCGGCAAGTCCTTCTTAATCCTTATGCTTCTGGTATTGTTCAGCATTAGGGCATTAAAATCCACAATTCTGTCTTTTACTCATTATGAAACTAATACTTATTTGTGGGAACCTTTCTAGTAAAAGCGTGATTAGTTTTGTGACCGTAATCTAAAAGTTTTTATGGGCAGGGGATGGTGTGTGAATTCTATGCCGTCATAGTCCACAACCGAAGTTTCAATGACAGCTTTCACCTTCACGTGCTTTGCATAGGCTTTCAGATTACTTTATACATTTTCGGAGCCTTCGACTGAGATAGAGAGTGCCGACTGCTTTAATTTCAATTTATGGTTCTAATTTTTTTTAAAGGCATAATCATTAAGAGCTTCTGCTCAAGTAGTTCGGCTTTAAATGGCCCATAGTATATACTTTGCCAATACGAGATGATAATTTCAGAACCGAGTAACGCATGGAGGAAACCGTTTCTTTAGCTCTGGGATCGAATCGGTAGCAGTTTGTGTTACGAGTCGGGGGATTTCGGTCTCGAGCTTTTGCAGGAGTATACAAAATTTAAAAATCAGGCTGGAAGCTGGACTGTAATGTTACCTAATCGACCAGGCAACAAATAGAATTTATGTGAATTTGAAGGATTTTATTTGACAAATCCAAGAAAAGCTTAAAAAGCATTATATGGAGTTTCAGCTTTAAAGGAAGATCGATAGCTCTCAATTCTTCAATTTCCTTTCCTTAAAACACGGCGATATTCTCTTATTTATCATACAACACACAAAGAAGCTTTCTCTAAATTTTCGTACGAAATTTTACCAAAAAACTTTGTCACAATCAAAACAATACATTTATCACGACCAACTAAAATTTATGTGACAGAGATAACGAAAGCAAAAACAGCAAGAACACGAAGCACACGAAAGTTCCGTCCGACACAGCGCAACGCAACCGCAAAGTTAAAAAAGATTTACAATTCGATTCGAGAAGATTTAGAGACGATTTCCAAAGATATATTTTTTGTTTAGGCAACGATAAATAAACAAATTATTTTCAGAACCGAAGATTTTCGTCTCCGATTTGAATGAGTGGGGAAGTGAAGGTGAGAGTGTGCTGCGCCCCACATATACACGCTCATCAATATAAATACTACCGTACGAAGAAAAATCGGAGAAAACTTTTTAAACTAAATATTTCTTATTGAAACACACCCGCACACACGCATACATATGCCCACAGGTAGTTGCTTATGCGACCAATAGATTGATTGTTTCGAACGCCAACGTAGAGAAGTGGCGGCGACTTTGGCGAGGCGGCAGCGCCTTGTTGCTGCTATGCATCATGCTGACGGATGTTTGGAGGAGCGGAAACACGCGCATTCACTCGCTGGCTCCATTAAATATGTCACATTATACAGTTTTTCTGTTTTCTTAATTTATTCCAAGTGAAAATTATTACACAAACAATGAGATCGGTAGCGAAGGTGGCGCAGCGAAATACCTCTTATATGTATGTGTGCGTGTATGGCATGCAAGGCGGCAAAGCCTCCACAGGTGCCCCATTCTAAAGCAAAGAAAGCTTTGAAACTCAATACAACAACACGTATACTTAAACGCTTTTCCCTCTTCTGTGAGTTATTGGCAAGAAAATTGTTGTGATGCGAGAATAAATAGCTTTGTAGGGGTTTTTGTCAAAACAAATTTTGTAGTCTCATTGATCAGAATTGAAGGCTTTATTGCATCGCTCTTTTTTTCGTTTGGGTTTTCTAAATAGTTTTGAGGATGTAAAAATTTGATTAAAAATGAATTGGCGTGTAAATTAAAAATATAGTACCAATGTAAGTTAGAAAAGAAAAATAAAAAACAATTTTAAATAAATGACAACAAAATAAAATAAAGTTAAATTAAATTAAAAAATAAATAAAATAAAATGTAAAATAAAAAATAAAATAAAATAAAACAAAATTAAAAAAAAAATTAAATTAAAATTAAATAAAATAAAACAGAATTAAGAAATAAAATAAAATAAATTAAAAAAATGAAAAAAAGCAAAAAATAAAAAAAAATATATCAAATAAATTAAAATGAAATGAAGTAAAATAAAAGAGAATAAAATGAATAAAATAACTAAAACAAAATAGAATAAAGTCAAATAAAATGAAATAAATTAAAACAATAAAAATAAAATTAAATTTAATTTGATGAAATGAAGTACAATAAAATATAACAAAATACTACTAAAACAAAATAAAATGAAGTTAAATAAATTGAATTAAGCTTTATTTATATAAAATAAAATGAGATAAAATAAAATAAAAAAGAAATAAAAAATAAAACAAAATAAAATAATAAAAAAACTAAAAAAAGGAAATAAAATAAAATAAAATTATGAAATAAATGAATGAATAAATAAAATTAAAACAAAAAATAAATAAATTAAAATAAAACAATATAGAATAATAAAAAATTAAGTTAAAAAAGCAAATTAAAATAAATGAAATGAAATGAAATAAGATAAAATAAATAAAATTAAATAAAACGAAGTAAAATAAAATGAAATCAAATCAAATAAAATAAAATGATAAAATAAATTAAAGAACAAATCAAATAAAAAACGAATAAAAAAACTAAAATAAAATAAAATAAAATGAAATGATAAAATAAATGAATGTATAAATCAAATTAAAATAAAAAAAAATATTAAAATAAAACAATATAAAATAATAAAAAAAGAAAAATAAAAAATGAAATAAAATAAGATAAAATAAATAAAATAAAATACTACGAAGTTAAATAAAATGAAATCAAATCAAATAAAATAAAATGATAAAATAAATTAAAGAACAAATCAAATAAAAAATAAAAAAAAAAAATTAAATAAAATAAAATATTGATAAAATTGATGAATAGATAAATTAAACTAAAAAAAAAATAAACTAAAATAAAACTATTTAAAATAAAAAAATAAAATACACTAAAAAAGAAAAAAAAAAAATAAAATAAAATAAAACGAAGTAAAATAAAATGAAATGAATTGAAATAAAATACAATGATAAAATAAATGAATAAATAGATCAAATTAAAAAAAAGCTAAAATAATATAAAATAAAATAATATAAAATAATAAAAAATTAAATAAATTAAAACAAATTAATATAAAACAAAATGAAGTAAAATTAAAAAAATAGAATAAACGAAAGAATAATACGAAAACATATTAATTAAAAATATGGAAAAATTTTTTAGGGAAATACAATGACAAATAAAATAAAATTAAAGTTCCACTTAATCATCAAAATTTTACGGTTTCATAGAGGTCAACTGAATTTAGCTAAGTTATCTCTAATTATGAGAGTTCACTGCGAAAACGTCGTTTGCAGTCGATAAGGTTGGGTAATACAAAAAAGTTGCCGATTATATTTTGGATGAGTGCATAAGTTCGTGCCCGATTCCGTTGGATGCCGTTCGAATCGTTTGAGAGTGGCGCTCGTGAAAGAAATATATACATATTATATATCGTTGACAATCCGAACTGCAAATCAAGCATAAAATAACTTCATTTTGATTTGAGTTGCTTAGTGAAAAGACGCATGGAAGATGGACAACGAAAAAGATCATATGCGTCATATTATGTTATACGAATTCCGCAAAGGAAAAATAGTAGGCGCGGCAACTAAAGATATTCGCGAAGTTTATTTGGACCGTGCTCCAGCACTCTGCACAGTAAAGAAATGGTTCGCGAAATTTCGTTCTGGAGATTTTAACCTCGAAGATCAACCTCGCAGTGGGCGATCTTCTGAGCTTGATGACGATGTTCTAAGGACTTTAGTTGCGAATAACTCACGTATTTCGACGGAAGAGGTTGCCAGTAAATTGAACGTCAACAAATCAACTGCGTTTCGTCGTTTAAAAAAGATTGGGTACACTTTGAAGCTCGATACATGGGTGCCCCATCAGTTGAGTGAAAAAAACAAAGTGGACCGTATGTCAACAGCAATTTCTTTGCTTCGACGGATCAAAAACGAACCTTTTTGGATTGGCTCGTGACTGGTAATGAAAAATGGATCCTGTACAACAATGTTCAACGCAAAAGAACATGGAAACAGGGACACGAAGGGGCGGAACCGATGTCGAAAGGTGGATTGCATCCGATGAAGGTACTGCTGTGCATTTGGTGGGATATCCGAGGCGTGATCTATTTTGAGCTCTTGACAAGTATTGTCAGCAGTTGGTCGAATTGAAGAAAGCAATTGATGAAAAATGTCCGATTTTGCCAAATCGCAAAGAAGTTCTTTTGCATTATGACAACGCCAGGCCACATGTTGCAAAACCGACCCTGGCCAAACTGAAGGAGATGAATTGGGAAATCATGCCGCATCCCTCATATTCACCCGACATTGCACCTTTTGATTATCATTTATTTCGATCGCTGCAGAACAATTTGAATGGAAAAAAATTTAAAAATATGGAAGACGTCAAAAACCACCTTGACACTTTTTTCAACGAGAAACCGCGCGATTTCTATGAATTAGGCATCCGTAAATTGGTTGAACGTTGGGAATGGATTGCCGAACATGATGGCTAATACATAATTGATTAATAAAAGCGCTTTCTTCAAAAAATTTGAATTTTAGTTTGCACTTGAAATCGGGCACGAACTTATGCACTCATCCAATACAAAGTGTTTGTAGAAAAATTGTAATGAAGGAAGCTCATCACTGTTGACTCGGGCTTTCTTAAGCCGTCAGAATCTTCTGCCGGTTACGACACATTTAAAGAGAATTGTGGCACTGGGACAGTTAAGGATGAACATCCAACGCGGAGATTTCCTTCATGTTCTCCAAACAAGTCAACAAGTCTCAAAAGATATGTATTAATGGAATAAGGCCAGAGTTTCCAGCCCAAATGGATTAGAAAAAGAGTACAGAGTACAGTTTAAATACATATAAGGGTTCCAATGCGCCTGCTGAGATACGGCACTCTTGCCAACTGAGGAACCCGTCAATGTTAATACATTAATCTACCATTTGTTTATTCCACGACTTTCGTCCACACATTTTCCACCATTTTACAAAATCCATTCATTCATTAAAATCCCTCAGGCATTTACCGAACTTTCACTCAAATTTTTTGCAAATAATTACTAACATATGGAATAAATATATGTATGTATGTACATATGCATGTGCAAGATCCATACGGAGCATACCGAAAAGAACGGGGCGTGTCTTAACTGCATTGGCTCAAGTCCTTTGCTGTGACATGTTAGAGAACGTCTAATGCGGCGACGATTTATAAATAGAAACCACTCGAAGACACTACAATTCTTAAGCATATTGAGTGCAGCACTCAAATGAAGTACACAACAACACACACGAACATATGGTATGAATATGTAAGAAGAAAAAAAAAACATGAAAAAGATACAGAGCGTCGATCGATCTCAGACAACAACACCACCAACACCAACACCAACACCAGTGTCGACAAATAGCTCAACATTAAGCAAATGAGAAATTAAAATTTTGAAATTTTGTCAACTAAAAGTGTCGTGGATGCCGTCGTCGTCGGAACATAAGTTTCGGAAGAACTAATTTGAATTTCTGGCGCAGAAGAACAAGAAGAAATCGTGCGGGGTTCGGAGTGACACTGAATGGTTGAAAGTGCTTAGAAATATTATTAATGAAAGTGATTTTGATTCATGTTTTATAATGAAAAAGTATTGAAAAAAAGCAATAAATAGAATTAGTGAAACATTAAAAAAATATTTTTTAAAATAGAAAAAAAAAAAAGTTAAAAGAAAGTCATTCCCATTGTAATGACGAAATACAACTCGAGTTTAGTGCTAGAATCCAGCAGCAGCACAAGTTCCCACAAAAACCTTGCAAAAAACTCAGCGATGATGGAGCGCATTAGCATTAAACAGGAGTTCAGCAGCTTTGGGCAGCGCTACACCTCCTCCATGCCACATGGAACCGTCCATCATGGTCAAGCACAAGCCACGCTTGCACATCAACAGCGTTCATCAACGCAACAGCAGCAACTTCACCACCGCCAACAGCAATCGGCAAATTTTTATCATCAACAACAACAACAACAGCAACAACAACAACAACAACATCAGCAACATTTACAAACACTTTTCAGTCGTTATGGTGCTGCCGTCGGTATTGGCGTTGGCTTGAATTTTGCTGGTGATGCTGACGAACGGGTTCCAGCAAGCGCATTCTTCGCCGAACATAACGGCAGTGCTTGTAATTATTCCAATTCGCGTGACAGCGATAAGCTCAATTTGACACCCTCACCAATCTTTACGGATTATGATGAGAACAGTTTGAGCTCGGAGGAGCATGTGTTGGCGCCATTAGTCTGTTCGTCGGCGCAGATGTCACGTCCCTGTTTGACGTGGGCCTGCAAGGCTTGCAAGAAGAAAAACGTATCAGTGGATCGCAGGAAAGCAGCCACATTGCGAGAGCGTCGGCGATTGAGAAAGGTAAAAGTCGGGGAAATTTAGCATAAGAGTGTGCTGCATACGTACATACAGGGCAGAGAGCCCTGAAATGGAAAAACTCATATGAACGGCATCAATAGATGGAACTTAAAATTTAATGAAGCAAATCTGAATATATTTCATTCCTTTTAGTTGCAATGTACTCATTAGGAAGAGCCAAAAATAAAAAATAAACCATCCCATTTATGGGTTAAAATTAACCTTTTTCATGAGAAAATAAAGTCCCTGCGGGCCAAGACCTTTTGCTCCGTTTTGATAGGTTTTCGGAAGCTTTCAAAGTTTTCTACATAAATTACACACCAAAAAATCTTTGTCCATCAAAATTATAATACCAGTAACTTTTGAACCGTTAAAGATAACATATTTACTAGGCGGATTCTTATATAATACATTTGGGGGGAGATTTTTCAAGTCAATAACTCATATATTCAGAATCTTTGAAAACTGTAAAGATCAAAATATTATTTTTTATGTGATATTTTTCATTTGGAGACCACGCCATAGGCCCACGAGGCAAGATAATGAGCCCAAAAAAAAGGTTTCCATCAATTTTAGTAAATTGACTGTTTCGTTGACTGTATGGCATGTAGTGTCGTCTTGCTGGTTCCAAAGTTCGTTCACATTAACATTCTCAATCAATTCAAAAAGAAATATGGAGCTTCCTCTGATTCCCTCTGCCCATAGAGCACACCAAACAATGGCTTAATGAGGTTTCAGTGGCGCTCAACAATGGATTATCATCTCTCCATATAAGTGAGCTTCTTCGCTGATAAAAATTTTCTGGCGAAAAAATTTCCGGTTCGAAACGAGCGAAGTGCTTGATGGTTGTTCGGCTTTAGTTCTTTCACTAGTAAGATTTTTTATGCTTCCAAACCAAAATTTTTCGGTAAAGTCTTCCATAAAATAGATCGGCACAGCGAATGAATTCATTCGGATCTTTTTCGTTACTCAGCAATAGCAAATTCGGTGCACACAGTTCGTCGTCTCTGCAGAAGCGCATTATTCACTAGAGAAAACGTTGCTCGAATTACCGACTCTGCTGAGCGGTTACGTCGACCGAATATTTGATATTGCAAACCAAACTGAACATAAAGCAACAAACAGCTGTCATTAGGGCTAGCACCGTTAATGCCTAATTGAAAACCGTACATCTGAAAAAAAAACGCCCTTTTTAAAAGCTGGGGCAATTTTTTTTTATTCTAAAACACATCGGAGCGGCTGGAGACTTTTTCTAAGGCAAATTTTTTTAAAAGAAATTTTTCATATAAGAACGATTCTGTCATGACTCTCGGCTTACCACTCGGTTAATGCCGAACTTTTAATCGCTTGGGCAATTTCGTTCAAGAACTTGATAGCTTTCCTTTAAGGGGGGACCTGGTTTAGAACACTGAAAATTGCATGATATTCGGCACAGTGTTTTAGGTTGCCTTACGTATGATATATTTAATGTACTTTTGTGTATCTATGACAAATCTGGCAAAAAATTTATTTTCCCTTTATTTGATACTGTTAAGCAATAACAATTCGTATTTGTTTGTGGCACTTCTCGCTCGAAGAGTCTATTTTGTGAACACGATAGCGATCGTAGTTTTCATTTTTGAAAAAAAAAAAAAAGAATACTAATTTTTGTAGCTTAGGAGTTGCTCTTCTATGTGAACCTAAGATATTCGAAGATATGTATAAAATTATTTATAAAAAGTTTTGCGTTTTTCTGCAGAAATTTTAAGATAATTTATTGAAAAAAGTTAATAAAAAAACTTTTTTATTGTGATTTTTTAAATTCACATAGAAGCCTACACTGTTAGCTGAAAAATATATGAAATAGCTTAGAAAATCGCGTTCAAAATTCTCGCATCCGCTTATCAGTCTCCTGAGCGCATTGTCTCTCAGACGCCATTTTTGCGGAACGATTAGGAATTTGACTCTGAAATTTTGTGGAAATATTTCTGAATATATTTCTAATCAAAAAATATCGATTTTTTTGACCATCTAAACTAGGCTCCCCCCTTAAATAATAGACTATGCGATGTATTTCCTAACACAATTGCAGCCAGCAGTGCGAGCAGCTCGATAACCGCTCGATACTCGTTCGTTGCTCAACTACTCAAAAGTTTGTTAATTTTTTTTTTCTTAACCTTTCAATGGGGTTTTCATATCATATAAATAAATTTTAAATATTAGAAAGAAGTTCGGAGAAAAAGTCAATATTTTTGCTCAAAATGTTTGAAAAAGCCCGAATCGCTCGAGCTCGTACAATGAACGAGTCAAAGCCAACTTATAAACGGTGAAGTTGTCACATCGTATGATTGCTTGTTCTTCCTCCCATTTTAACAAATTACACAAAAAAAAAAAATACTTGAGAAATAGATTTGGACATTGCAAACTTTTTATTACACCAACAAAATACATTCAATGAATCTCGTTTTTGACTTTACAAAACTATTATTACACAAACAAGACACCGAGGCTTTTTGTTTTTGTATTCTTGCTACTACCGTAAGAAAATTTGCCTTGGAACGAGTATGCGAGTATTCGTAGCTCAAACACTCGAACTGCTCGAAAATGTCCGAACAAAATCTTGAGCTCTAATACATTTGAGTTATGATTTTCGAAAGGCTGTCCATGATAAAAAAATCTATGCGATTGTTTCACTTCGGAATTTCTGACACTAAACGTGTTTGCTCAGAAATTTTTGAACTTGCCAATTAACATATTTTCAACTTGGATAATTTTTAATTATTGTTGGGGTTATTTTCTAAGCAGTCGCTATAATATTGAATACTCGTATGGATCTATTAAAATATTGCTTTCAATCCGTTTTTCATACGCGGCAAAAGTAAGAAAAGGATTTGCTAGATACATAAATAATATGGGAAGAATTGCGATTTTTAAATTTTTTTTCGAATCACAACTAAATCCCAAAAGTCCATGGTTTGGGGCTCTGGTCATAGGGACACGCAGGAAACTGTACACCAAGTGGTCGGACCATCTGGAACGATGAGAGGAATCTTTTTTGTAGAACCAAGATAGGTGTCAAGAGATCAGGGTTGTATGATAGTACGACCTGTTCAACTAACTAACTGACTAATATCAATATATTTGGCGGTTAGTTTGGATTCAAAAGTGTTTGGAGCTTAATCGACTTTAAGTGTAATTATGAGATTTTTATAATGACTTTGCACTGCTCTAAAAAATCAACAATTTTTGAAACAATATCCAGTTTGCTTACAAAAATTCTTTCATCTTAAACTGTGAGCCTAATTTGAATTGAAACGTTTATATTAGGTGTAGTAAAAAGTTCGTTCGATTTTTATCTAAGAGATGGCGCATCATATCATACTGTACGGCGCTGAAAATGTGTTTATTCCCGCTAAAAGTTTGTCCTTGAAAGTTTTTCGATTAATTGTCTCAGTACGTTGTGAGCGCTCGACAAAGATGGACACTAGCAAAGAGAAAATTCAAAACGGTGTCCTCGAAGTGGTCTCTTAAGTTTTTGGAAAACCCAGAAGTAACATGGTGCCAAACCAGACGAATAAATTCGTGAGTTTTTTAGCGAAATGGCTATGAAGAATGAGTGCTGTGTGCGACGGTGCATTGTCATGATGCCAAAGCCAAGATTGGTTGGCCCATAATTCTGGTCTCCTTTAGCAAATTGCTTCACGTAAACGACGGATAACGCTTAAATAATATTCCTTATTTACCGTTTGGCCGGGCGGAAGGAAATCATAGTGTACCACACCACGAAAATCGAAGAAAACAGTCAACATGACCATGGTTTTTGAGTGACTTTGACGTGATTTTTTTGGTTTTGCCTCACATTTAGCACGATATTGGCTTGATTGGTTGGTGGTTTCAGGATCGTGAGCATAGAGTCTCCAAAGGCTTTCTGTAGCATCCTCATCGTTTCAGCAGCCGAAAGTTCATTTTACAACCCGAAATATTAAACGCGCGAAGCTCAAATTCAAAATTCACTTTAGTTTTTGCCTACAGTAGTAAAACGAGTACAATTTGCTAAGCTCATGGTCTGACGAAAAATCAAGGAATATTTCCAAAAATTTTCTATTGCTCTTATTTTTTTTATAGAAATGTTCAATAACGGTAACTCAAAAATATTTGTTATTAAAAAATCCGAAACTAGAGTTTTGGACCTTTAATTTGCTATAACTACGATCTCCATAAGATCAATCCTCATAGATATACGCTTCTTCTTCTTAGTTACTGGCGTAGGCGTCATTCATTCCTTCTTTTTTTAATTTTTTTTGGCAATCGAGACAACTACAGCCAGATCTTTCTCCACCTGGTCTTTTCAACGGAGTGTAGTTCCTCTTCCTCTGCTTCCACCGGTGCTTACTTCATCGAATACCTTGGATTATTCTTATCTATCCGTACCCAGTCAGCGCAGCCGCTATCTCTTTATTCGCTGAACTGTGTCAATGGCATTGTCCCATCGGTTGCGATATTCGCCGTTACCATTGAGCAGAATACCATAAATCTTACTTTTTTCAATAGCCGTGGCTGAGAGTCGGTGCCGTTCGCATTTTACGTCGAGATCTTAAATTGAAAGTGTATAAAATACGGCTTGTGCAAGAACTGAAGCCACTCGAGATACCCAAGCGACATTGCCTCGCTCTATGGGCTCTTGGAAAAGTTCCAAGAAGATCCGAAGTTTTCGAGCCAAATTTTGTTCAGCGATGAAACCCATTTCTGGCTCAAATGGGTATGTAAACAAGTGAAATTTACGCATTTGGGATGAAGAGCAACCTGAAGAGATTCAAGAGCTAACATTTCATCCAGAAAAATCAACGGGTTGGTGTGGTTTGTGAGCCAGTGGAATTGTCGGTCCATATTTTCAGAAATATGATGCCGGTGAGAATAAAACAAATAATGGCAAACGTAATCGCGCAATGTTATCTGACCATTTGATGCCTAAAATTGAAGCGCATGATCTCGGCGACATTTGTTTCAACAAGACGCCGCCACTTCCCATACATCGCATCAATCGATGGATTTATTGAGAGAACACTTTGGTGTGCAGATATTTGCACGTTTTGGGTCGGTGGATTGGCTCCAAGGTCGTGTGATGTCACACCGTTAAACTTTTTCCTATGAGGATATATGAAGTCTAAAAACCACGCATGTCATGCGCCAGTTAACAGTCGAAATGCTCGAACGAGTCAACGAAAATTAGACTCAACGGATGGACCTTCTCAGACGTAGCCGTGGCAAACATTTGAAGGAGATAATCTTGAATGAAATAAATGCTAAAGAATGTTCTTTCGCTTGATAATAAATTTTCCCCATTAAATATAAATATTTTGTATTTTTTCTTTAAAAAAAAGTAGGGATTATCGAAATAGATAACCCTCTAGCACTAGTAGCACTGGTATAATGAGTCACTTGTAGAGTTTGGTATTGGTTTGTCGAGAGATGGCTTTTAATTTTCATTTCCATGGTTAGTCTAAGGCTTGAGTGATTCCGCGTTGGATTTCCAACCGGACTTCGCTGCTGGTGTTAATGATGGTTCCAAAATAGATGAAATCACCGATGAACTCGAAGTTACGAGTATTAGCAGTGGCGTGGGAGCGCTTCAAAAATCACTAAAAAAAATTCGAAATTCTTTGTTTTTTTTTGTTTGAGATCATTGATCGTTATTTAATCATTGATCATTGATTGTATTTAAATGGATTTTTCATTTAGTAATTAATTTATTCCTTTCTTTTAAAGTAAATTTGATATTCAAAGGTTCGCTAACCCGTTATTGCATTGCGCCTTTTCAAATTTTTCAGCATTGGCTATTGAGCCAATAGAAATCTGTGTGGCATTTAGTGATGAATTTGCACCGCATAAATATTTCAACGCTACAATTCCTTGGCCGAGATCGCAGGCATGAGCATACCCGTGCATACTCGTACACATGTGTGTATGTAAGTACACATATACATGGTACGTTTCAATATAATATAACTCAATTTGAAAAATTAGCTACAATGTTGTCAAATGATTTGCGTTAATAAAGAAAATCGTGCCCACCCCACGACTCAGCGCAATTGATGTAATTATAAAAGTGCACTAAAACGCGGGGCATTGGTGCAGTGCAGCAGTGCAGCGGAGCCATTAAAAATCGCACAGTGTAGACGCACTCTCACGCATATTCGAAAATATTCAAGGGATATTGAGGCGTAAATGGTTGGATGCGCACACGCGTTAGACAAATGAATTAAGTTTCTGCCGGCGATTTTCCAAATGTAAAGTTAAAAGTTTTACGAGTCACCGCAAAAGTAATAAAACATGAGCGCATACGTGTACATATGTACAGACATACATACCTACATATGTATGTATATACACGTACATAAGTAGGTTGGCCATCGTAAGCGGTTGAGTGGGATTTAATAGCGCTCCCAATAAAGAGCGGGGCATCTGAAGAAGGATGAACCAGTTGATCATTCATATATATTTTACACATATTTACATACGTACACACATACATATGTACATACAAATGTCAGGAACTGGTTAAGATAATCATAAACAGAAATCATAAAATGGGGGGAAATTTCTCCGAAGCGTTTACGATCTAAGCAGGAGGGAGGGGGAGGGGGGCTGGTTTCATAGTCATGCTTTCCTTCCAAAAATTGTCATCCAAACAATGTGCAACACGCACATACATACATGCATTACACCAGTGCACTTAAATACATGTATGTGTGAGCGTAAATGTGCTTGTTTTGGGCGAAAGGCTACACTAAAATTTAAGTATGAAAGTGTTTTCAACGCAACGGTAATTATGCTAATTTCATTATTTGAATTTAATGCTTGTTTTAAGGTGAGTTATGATCGCGTTTAATTACTCTAGCAGCTACTTTGTTGTGATTTAATGCCACAATGTGAGGTTAGAAGTAAAAGCGTTGAATAATTATGCGTTGCTTTTAAGAAAAATTTGTCTTTATGACAGCATTTAATTTGTTAAAAAGAGTTTTAAATTTGTTGATCAAAACCGTTACAAATCTATATAAATAATTGGTTTTTGTAATTGCTGATGCGATTTTCGGCCAAGCTCCTCCTCTAATTTGTGGTTTTGCGTCTTGATGTTTTCCCCACAAAAAGCGGGGGCTTATACCAGACCGCCTCTGAACAGATGGATTTTCATGAGGAGCTTTTTATTTCATGCCAGAAATACACTCGGCGGAATGTTGTTGTGGACCTAAACGATTTTTTTTTTCAAAATAATCATAATAAATAATATAGAAATGCTTTTCTTTTTCCTTACTGACGTACGAGCTGTGACAATAAAGTAATGAGACTGTTTATATTTCGGCGACTGTGGTAACTCTGGGACCAAGAAATTCTCTTTCGCTTCTTCCAGCATATTTCTCCTCTCCATTGATATATTTGCCATCGCTCTAGCTTATTTAGTTCGCCTGCTGTGTCGTGCTGAGTAAATGTGTGTTCGTGGTGCTCGTCAGGAAAATGGAAAAATTAAATCAAGAGCAACGAGTCGCGATAAAATTTTGTGCCAAATCGGGCGATAGATACGAGAACGTACGCTTAAATTGTAAAAATGCATGGTGATAGTCGTGCCCAGGTGTTTCGATGGCATAAAGAGTTTGAGAAGGGGCATAAGCAAGTCGAAGGTGAAAACGATGATTATTGCATACTTCGTTAGCCGTGGAATCGTCCACAAAGTATTTCCTCCACTGGGGCAAACTGCAAATCAAATACTCGAAAGATTGTGAAAACGAGTCAACAGGGTGCGCCTAGACATATCTCTTAACTGGATCCTTTATCACAACAACACGCCTTGGCACACCGCCCTCGGCGTGTCCAAGTATTTTGCCTCTAAAAAGATGGCCGTGTGTAACAATCTTCCCCTTCCTCTCTTTCCACCGTCCGATAGTGCATCGAAAAATTTCAAAGCCGGGGCATTCTTATACATCCGGAACACATGACGTAGCCAGCGTAGCCGGCTGTACTACGCCAGTGCCATTGTACGTAGATACATCGTGCAGCTTATCGTTCCATCGCCTGCGGTATTGACTCAGTTCCTATCGCGCAAGTAATCATAAATCTTACGCTAAAATTTTCTCTCAAAAACTCCCAACGCCGACTCATTAGAAGTTCTCTTTGTCCATGGCATTATGAATTATCGAGAGGGGGCCTTACTTTTCAAATGCAAAGTAGCAGCTGTTAGCGAGAGTATTTGTTGTTGTAGGTGTTAATACCGGTTTCAAGATAGACGAAGTCATCTATGACTTGAAAGTTTCGACTCTCAACAGTGACGTGGGAGCTGAATCACGAATGCGATGACTGTTTACTTGATAACAGGAGATATTTCGTCTTGCTCTCATTCACTACCAGACCCATAAGCTTCGCTTCCATATCCAATCTAGAGAAAGCAGAGCTCACAGCGCGGTTGTTGAAGCCAACAATGTATCTTAAAAGATTGTATCTTCCCTATTCAGCTCCGCAGTGCGTATTATTTTCTCCAGCAATACATTAAAGAAGCCAATGTTTGGTCCCGAAGTGCTAGCAGAGGTCCTTACTAATTCTGATGGAGCTTTTGGTGTTGCTTAAAGACAGTTTTCACAGCGACGTAAAGTCGGCTCCTATTCATGCTGTCGATTCTCTTTTCACGGGTCTTTTCCATAATTTTCCGCATATTAACAGGCTTAAAGTATTGGATTAGGCCGAACACACTTAGGCCAGGCTTTCGTCCAAACCTGGTCATAGTTGGGCATTCTAACGATTAAGATTTTTGGTGATGCTCTTTCAGAGCCTTTTAGCAGTATGCACTGGTCATTACGTTACCTTATTGGTTCTGATATGAGTATGTTTCTGTCTTGTATTCCTCTGGGAGTTGCCGGGTATTTTCATTGTGTTTTCCAGCATAACCATTTTGGTCCACTTTTCAAGCTTTTCATACTCACGCGTTTCAAACTCTGTCCCTTTTCGTCTGCACATACGTCTGGCTGTCCTTTTCCTGGTTGCACGGTTGGCAGCCATTCTTCTTTCCACTGCAGTTCGACGATACTCATCGCGATAGTGAAATATCTCCAGTCATAAAAAAAAACAGTCAGCACCCTGGCCTCTTGGCTGTCACGCCACTATCAGCATTAACACCAACAATAATTTCAGCCTTGAAATCCAACGCAGAATCATACTTGTCAACAGTTGCTACTTTGGACTGAGTGGCAATAGAAAAGAAAAGTCCGCTCTCGACGGACAAAAACAAAACTCGGCAAGTCGCTCATAATTCCCGTCCAGCAATACGGTACAGAAGCGTGGACTATGATTACACCTTATGAATCGGTTCTCGGAGTTTTCAAGAAAAAAGTTTCGAGAAGTAGTTATGATCCTTTGCGCAATGGCTACAGTGACCTTGAAATAGTTTAGCGAACAAAGTGACAGCAGTTGCGCCGACTAGGTCATGTTGAATGGATGGGAGCAAACTACCTTTAAAAGTATTTCCAATTTGGTGCCACACATCGAAATGAAGAAACAAATGTCGAGCTATTGTTGAGTCGGCTGTTACGAAGATGAAACAGGTTCGATCCAAATATATTGGGTTTCTTATAATTTTACTCTAGTCAGCGGCATCCTTGGACATTACAGAGTCGGTTGCATACATAGCGGGTATCCTGTCGCAGGTACTAATGTAAGCGACCAAAAAAATTCAAACGAAAGTTTAAGGAGATGGTACAGCAGCCGTAGAGCCAAAGCAAAGTTCACTTGAAATCACTTGGGTCTGCTTCGATGCTCGCATGTCTTAGAATAAATACTCTGAACTATTTACTTTCTCTTTATCAAACACTGAATTTCTAATAAATTTTCTTTTCCTTATTTTTCATTCCTTTCAGGTAAATGAGGCTTTTGAGGTGTTGAAGCGACGCACATCGACGAATCCAAACCAAAGACTACCAAAAGTTGAAATTCTCCGCAATGCCATCGAGTATATTGAGAGCTTGGAAGATTTGTTGCAGGTAAATGAAGGCAAACTCCAATACTCAATTACAATTTATTTATAAACAATGAAATTTCAGGAATCATCACCCACACGCACGATCGACAGTCTCGCAGATGGCATCATAAGTGGGAAAACGTGTCAGCAAGACTATTTGGTGAGTGATTTTCGCTAATAAAATACATTAGATATTAAGCGGACTACAACAATAACAATAAAGTACAATAAACAATACAATTTAATGAATTATGCTACGACGTACTTAAGATGAAAATTTAGTTGTGATTTTCTTCAAAAACACTGTTATTGTAAGTAAGTGGTGCACACTCTCTTCTGATTTTCCCAATTGGGATGATTTTCTTTTTTTTGAAATTTTTATCGTTAACTTGTCGTTAGTTTTGTTATTTAATTTTATTTGACATTGCTTTGTTCTCTATTTAGTTGTAAATACACACATACATACGTGTGTGTGTGTGTGCTTTTGTTTATTTTGTATAAATAAAATAAGTGGCTGTGCCCAAAAAAAAAAAGTGGGTGAAGAAAGTGGATATTTACTTTTGTTCTTCGGTGTTGTGAGATTTCCCTGCCGCCGCTGTATTTATTAGCTGGTGGATCGATGCGTTGTCTGGCCCTACACGCACGTGTCTGTGCAAGAGAAAAAAGTCAAAAATAATAAAATGAAAAACTAAGTGTGGAATAATGGATGAAATGTCACAACAAATATTTCACTGATTTATAACAACGACATGAAGACAAATTTTTCATTCAATTTCTGAGCTCATTTCCTGAGAATAATTATATGTAGCGAACAGAAGGATGTGGCGAACCCGTTTTCCCAATCGCTGATGATGGAATAGACGCATCATTGCCTGTGAAGACTTTGAAGAACTTCGAATAGCAATTGTCCGCAGGCGGGCCGGTGGACTGTGAGCCATGCAAATACAGCGGTATTGAACTGACAAGGTCTATGCATCAGCTCCTTTGAAGAGTATGGTCGGATCAAAGCATGCTCGACGATTTTGATCTAACTGTGCTCAGCTCAATCAATCAAGAAGGAGTACTAATTACCGTTATGGTAAATCTCCTCGTTATCGTTCATGAGGTCCTATCGAGTGGATTGTTTGAAAGACTAAAAACATAATGCTTGCAACTTATCAGTGTGGCTATAGACAAGACCATGCACCATGCGCCAAATCTTGGAAAATAGCCGTGAAAAGAGGATCGACACTCACCGATTTTAAAGCAGGCCTCGACAACATGAAAAGCAACTGCCTCTACGCCACTACGTCCGAATTTGGTATACCCGCAAAACTTATACGACTGTGTAAACTGACCTTAAGCAGCACTAAAAGCTCGATCAGTATCGGGAAGGCCCACTCCCTCCCAGCCGTTCGATACCAAAAGAAATTTTAGACAGGGCGATTCCTTATCTTGCATAAATTAAAGAAGTCAAATTATTGCTGGAGAAAATAACACGAACTGCAAAGCTGAGTAGAAAAAAGTTCGATCTGCTTTCTCTAGCTTAGATAAGAAAGCGAAGCGAATGGGACTGAAGGTGAAGTGAGGGCAAGAAAAACATCTCATACATATAAAGAGCAGCGTAATAACCAGACAAAGCTTTAAGGGGACTTAAGGCAGAAGGATGGAGTGCTTAAAAGCGCATTAAACGCCTGCTGTAATGAAACTGATTCCATAAAAACCGCATATTTCAAGGTTATCCTACAACTCTGTCATACCCTTCAAAGAAGTACCCATGGCCAGCAACGATTCCAGCGCGTTTTCCATGTTTCAAAACATTTCTGGAGCCCCTCGTCACGGTCGCCTGGATGTATTCAATCGGCTCAAAATGGGCTGCTTTGTCGATTTCGTTCTGAAGAACGGCGCGTTGACGTGATGAAGTATTTAGTTACGAGCGATTTCTGGGCGCACCCTGTTGATTTGTTTTAGCAATCTTTCGAGTACTCGGCGATAGTAGTCTTGATTTACGGATTAGAGCGTCCACACGCTGCGCATTCGTATCAGTCCACATCCGACTTGTCCCCAGCTCGGCGCTTCGTCTTCCAGGCTTTCGCGCCCTCCTCAAACTCTTTATGCCGTCGAAACACCTGGACACGACTATCACAATGCATTTTTACAATCTTAGCGTACGTTCTCGTATCTATCGCCCGATTTGGCTCAAAATTTTAGCGCGACGCGTTGCTCTTGATTTCTTGTTTCCATTTTCGTGACGAGCACCACGAACACACGTTTACTCAGCACGACAAGGCAGGCGAACTAAACAATCTAGAGCGACGGCAAATATATCAATGAAGCGGAGAAGGATGCCGAGAGAAGAGAAAGGAAATTTCAAGGTCACAGTGCTACCACAATCGCGGTAATATAAACAGTCTCGTTACTTAATTTTTACAACTCGTAGGTAAGGAGGAATCGATGGACAAAGCAGTTCGCTGTTGTTCACTCGGATATTTTTCATTCGCTTGCCTTGTAGAGCTTGCATCGGTGGACGTCATTCATCTCCTAAGCTTCATAAAACACGTCAAGTGTTTTGAGCAATAGGAAAGGTGAAAGGAATCTCCTCAACAGGACCAATATATAATAAGTTTCATAGAGAGCAAGTAGGCCTAAGCGCGCTTGATCATGATTAAGTGTTGAAGCAACCTGTGTTAGTTTAACTAAGGCATGCGCGATTTGATTAGGATTTTTCACCGATCATAAATTCCATATCGGATTTGCTCATACAAAACCATGAATGGTGACGTCTTTATGCCGCAGAGCAAGTCATCGTTCTTCATTAATTCTAGACACAAAAAATTATCAGTCATTTTGAGTCGAAAAGATTATTAATTTCTCAGCAAGTAATAGAATACAAAAACATGCAATTTTCAAAAAAAAAAAAAGAAACAAGATTGTTAAAAGCAAACTAAATTCGTTCTCTGTTTTGTTCTTTAACTTTTGCGAAAGAAACGTATTTATCAAAAATATTTTAACTTTAACAAAAAAAAAAAGAATTCTTATGTCAATGAGAAAAGCAAACAATTTGTTTAGTCGCCGCCCATACAGTCACTTCTAATTCCCACAAACTGTCCCCTCAGTATATTCACCCATAGATAAATACATATGTATGTACACACGCGTGTGTGAGTGTAGAAAATATTATATTTATGGGTTTTCTCAAGCGCTAGAAATTGGAAAATATTTATGTTTACGCTGACGTTCGCATTTAATAATCATCGTGTCGCCCATTTATGAATTAGACATTTTTTGTATGAATTTAAATATGAATTATTTCTGTGCCAGATAGTGGGACATTCACTGACACACACACACACTCATACACACGCACCTAATGGTCCATACAGAAAAGAAATACATATATGTAGATATGAGGGGTAAAGCAGACGAGGAGCTTGTGGCTGCGATTGCATGGCGATTGTCTTAGGACACGCATTGCCACTGGGCAGCCCAGGCTGACTGTGTTGTCTGGGCGGTCTGGTCTTATTCTCTTTAGTTGTTGCAATAGCTGTCACCTTATTTTCAAATTACTCAATTTCGTTGGTTGGGCTTTATTTTTGGCTGAAAATCACTGCATGTGCAACGCTCTTTTTTGCTTATGGAAAATACGCAGATTTTCAGTTGAAAAAACCTCCTGTGGGCACAAATAATTGAATTCCTTCACGATAATTTAAGGTTTATATTAGGTGTAGTAAAAACAAATCAATTATAATAGATGACGTTATTTATCTGCATCCCGCGTTGCATAAGTCCGGTCGGGTTCCGCTTGGTTGGCGTTAGAAAGATGACATTTCGTGCTAGAAAAGCTCTTCTGTCAGTTTTGTGTTTGGGTGACTACCATGCACCTGTGAGCGACCAGAAACGATTCTCTTGCATATGATTCAAGCAGCTCACGGTCACGTATCCCCTGGGTAGCCAATAAACACCCGTTTGGAGGCGAGCTAAAGTGAGAAGGCGAATCCCAAGCGGTTGTGCGTAGGGTTTGGGACCCATCACATGAAAAACAAAATCCAATGAATAGTTTAAATCAGCCACGGCTGAGAGATCCCTCTTTTGATGACGATGACGATGACGATTCCCACTAATGCCGCTGCCCTGCCCAGGTTGATGTCCCCATAAAGTTAAAGGCTGACATCACCCCCGTCCAAGAAGTGCTATGGACGGGACAAGTACGAAAACGAGTAGGTTCTTGGGACATTTACTACAGCGTTCATAAACCAGACCAGAGAGAGACTACGTCACGCGGTACTGGAATTCACTCCGCCACAATCCGCAGCGAACAGATAATACACCATATTTTATTTTTCTTCGATGAGAGCGAAAACGCAAGCCAGGCGGAAGTAAATGTAAAACGCGTTTATGGTTCTGATACTCTAACAGCCAATCACGCGCGATTTTGGTATCATTGCGGTAATTTTGATGTAAAAGACCACGCACTGGAAGGCCAATGGTCGAAAATGTCGATAAGATCATAGAAACTGTCGAGTCCGACCGTCATGTAAGCACTGTTTCGTATGCCCACTAGCTAAGGATTGCACAAAAAACCATTTGGAACCACTTCAAAAGGCTGGATTTAAAAAAAAAAGGGCTCGATGTATGGGTGCCACACGAGTTAACGCGAAAAAACCTCATGAACCGAATTTCCATCTGCGAATTGCCGCTGAATCGCAACAAACTCGAGCCATTTCTGAAGCGGTTGGTGACTGGCATTGGAAAGTGGATCACTTACGATAGCGCCAAGCGAAAACGGTCGTGGTCGAAACGCGGTGAACCGGAGGAAACGGTGGCCAAGCTAATATTGATGGCCAGTGAGGTTTTACTGTGTATTTGGTGGGGTTAACAGAGAATTATCTACTATGAGCTTCTCCCATACGCCAAAACTCTTAGCATGAAACTGTACTTGTCGGCATTAGAACCGTCTGAAGCAAGCAATCGCCGAGAAATGGGCAATAGAAGAGGAATTGTGCTCCATCAGCACAACGCCAGTTAATGAATTTTCACCGATAGCGACTCGCCAGAAGCAGCGGGAGCTTGGTTGGGTCTATTTGATATAGTCTTTTGATCACGATGACTTTTGGTGTTAACATTTATTTGCAGTTCCCAACCTGAAAAATCCGTCATATATATGAACATATACGAGTATGT